TGTGCACGAGCAGGCGGGGGGGGGGCAGCAGAAGGCGGCCGCGGAGGAGGGAGAAGGGCGGCGCGCTCCGGACCAGGACGGACTTCGTGAGCTCGGCGGCGGGCTGCGAGGGCAGGAAACACCCGGGGGGGCAATCAGGATTGATGGCAGCAGCAGGGAAGAGTAGGGAAACAGAAGGCAAGACTTCTCGGGACCACGTGCGCCTGGAAGATGTCCACCCAGAGACGCACAAACAAACTGAACAACTGTGCGAGCGCGCATGTGCTTGTCCATGTCATTGCGCGTGTTCTTGTGCGCGTGCATCTGTGTGTTTCTGTGTCTCCCCTTCCGCTTCCCCGCCTGCTCCCATGTTCAGAGATGAGAAGACCACATGAGCATACAATTTCGGAGCTCCGACAAATCATTTCTGTGCAATGCCTTCGTCTTCGAGCTGTGGACCACCCGGAGGCCACGCGCTGGACGCACACGCGCAAGGCCGGAGCCCACGGCCACAGAGGGGCCGAGCGCTGGCAAGAGGCCTGGCCACGCGCGCACCCGGCTCCCGCCCAGGCCGACCGTGACATGCGCACCTCCGGGCTTCCTCGTGCGCACACGGGCTGATGCACACGCGGACCGGCAGCGCCCCGCCAGGAGACCGTGCGCACGTGGACTGCCGGCGCCGAGCCAGGCCCGGGCATCCGGCGATGTGATCTTGCTACACTCGCAGCCCCAAGGTCCCGACCCCCTCCCCAGGGGCAGCTTCTCGCTCCGAATCCATGCTGGGTGGCCCACAGGCGCGAGAGAGGGCGCCAGATAGAAACAAGGAAAAGAGACACCACCACCACCAGGGACCACGAGCGCGAGGAGCCAGGGGGGGGGTCCCCGTGGTGGTGTACCCCCCCCCTCTCGCTCGAGACATCCCAGATCCCCAGCTCGGGGAGGCATCGTGGACCTCCTGCTGCAGGTGGCCCCCATGGTGGTGGTGGTGGTGGTGGTGGTGGTGGTGGTGGTGGTGGTGGTGGTGGTGGTGGTGGTGGTGGTGGTGGTGGTGGTGGTGGTGGTGGTGGTGGTGGTGGTGGTGGTGGTGGTGGTGGTGGTGGTGGTGGGGTGGTGGTGGTGGTGGTGGTGTGTGTGGTGGTGGTGGTGGTGGGTGGTGGTGGTGGTGGTGGTGGTGGTGGTGGTGGTGGTGGTGGTGGTGGTGGTGGTGGTGGTGGTGGTGGTGGTGGTGGTGGTGGTGGTGGTGGTGGTGGTGGTGGTGGTGGTGGTGGTGGTGGTGGTGGTGGTGGTGGTGGTGGTGGTGGTGGTGGTGGTGGTGGTGGTGGTGGTGGTGGTGGTGGTGGTGGTGGTGGTGGTGGTGGTGGGTGGTGGTGTGGTGGTGGTGGTGGTGGTGGTGGTGGTGGTGGTGGTGGTGGTGGTGGGTGGTGGTGGTGGTGGTGGTGGTGGTGGTGGTGGTGGGTGGTGGTGGTGGTGGTGGTGGTGGTGGTGGTGGTGGTGGTGGTGGTGGTGGTGGTGATGGTGGTGGTGGTGGTGGTGGCAGTGGTGGTGGTGGTGGTGGTGGTGGTGGTGGTCGTGATGGTGGTGGTCGTGGTGGTGGTGGTGGTGGTGGTGGTGGTGGTGGTGGTGGTGGTTGTGTTGGTGGTGGTGGTGATAGTGGTGGCGGTGGTGGGCGTGGTGTCGCTTCTCCTAAGACTGCACGCAAGAGTGACCCCAGGCAAGAGTGACTTTTGGTACGCGGCTTCAGGGGGGGGCGAGGGGGGCAAAACCCGAGCGCGCAAGCCACTGCTGTCGCACCGCTTTCAGCGGTCGAGGGGCCCCAGTGGACCCGCACCACAGGTCACTCCAGCAAAGGGTCACTCTTACGTCCCCCGACCATAGGCCGAAATCGAGGAAAAATGCTCGGATTGAAAAAACAAAAAAACAAAAAAAATCGCCGGGGATCCAGGGCGTGCTGCCTCGCCCAGGCGGGGACGGGCGCTGGGCGCCCGTCGACGGCGCGACGGATGCCGAGGCAGCCGCGGCGCGCTCGCGGGGCCCGCTCGCAAAGATCAAGGCCTCCCAGATGGACTTAGAGTGGTCGGAGGATCGCACCGCACCGTCGATGCAGCACCGATGCATCGGCAGCGTCGGCGACGAATCGGCGACGTCGACGGGGACAAAATCGGGCTGCATATTGAGCCGCATCGCCTGTGCATCGACGAAGCGGCGCATCGCCGATGCATCGCCCGTGCATCGGAGATACTGCGCGATCCTCCTCGGACTCCCTCTGGGAGGCCTGGAAAAAAGGCCGGCGCGCGCGAGGGGGGACACGAGTCGGGCGTGAACATGGCCCCCTTTAACAAAACGCCGTTGAGTGAAGGCTGCCAAGGGCACTCCACGTGCGCACGGCACCGCGTTCCGAGTGCACCCTAGCGGGGCACTGATCGACGTACAAAAGCAACCGAAAGCATCATGCGAAACGCACGTCGACTAGCGAGACCGACTGGGGACTGCACCCGTGCACTCGAATGCACTGGCACACTCGACAGCCAATGTCGAGTCCACCGAGGCAGATCTCCTCGGCCCACTTGTCTGGGGGGCCCGTGGTCAGTGCCCGAAGGCGGGGCGGGCCTGGGAGCTCGACGCTCGGGGCATCCGGAGCTCGGGCTGCCCCGCGAAGCGTGGCTCGCGCGACGGGCACTAGGAGACAACTACTGGGAGGTTTTCGTCGGAAGGATTAAAGAGGATTAAGCCCCATTGGGGGGCCGTGATGCCAGAGTGGGCCTCGGATTAAGCGGGATTAAGCCGGATTAAGCGGGATTCAGCGGGATTAAGCCGGATTAAGCGGGATTAGGCCGGATTTCGGACCAGGGCAAAGTCAGAATTTAACCTCCCAGGAGTTGCATCCGAACGGGCAGGAGCGTGCGCGCGCGCAAGGCGTGCGCGCGCGCGTGCGCGGCGCGCGCCCCGAAGCACTCGCGAGCGGGTCGCGCGGGAGGAGAGCCCGCTCGCCGACCCGCCGCAGCGCGCCGCGCCCCGCCTTCCTCGCCTCCCGCCCGCGGCCTCTGCCGCCCTGTCTTGAAGGGGCCCCAGGACACACAAATACATAGACACAAAAAAAAAAAAAAAAAAAAAAAAAAAAAAAAAAATATTTTCTCATATTTTCTGGGTTTTTGCCTTCCCCCCCACTTCCCATATTTTCCTACATTTTCTGGGGAATCGACGGTTAATTGTGTCTGTGTGTTTTTGTTCCCTCCTGATGTCTTGCCGTGCCTCTGCCCCGTGAGGGGCCGGCGGACTCGCTTCCTCACCCGGCCGGCGCGGGCGCGCCGGCGGCCACTTCGCAGCGGTCTGCTGCAGAGCTCGACCTGCGACGCTCCAAGAGTGTGGGCGTGCGCGTCACTGTCCCACCTAGGCTCGCGCGTAGCCAATTTGGCAGGCCCGGGTCCGGGACCTCTCCTTCGGAGACTGCGTTTCCGCGTCCGCCCGCGACCAAAAAAAAAGTCACTGTCCCACCAAATCTCCGAGGATATGAGGCTTGTTCCATCAGGGCGTGCCTCCCCAATTGCGGCCTCCGTGGGCCCGCAACGGGGCCCCGGAAGCGTCAAGCAAAAGCGAAGCCGGGACGAAGAGCTGCCCCCAGCAGAGCGGTCGGAACCTCTGTGGCCGCGAATTGACAAGGTCGCGTCGGAGGATGTCTCCGGACATGCGATGTCTTGGCTGATGTGTCCCCGAAGCCCCGACCCTTTCCCCAGGGCCAGTGTCTCATCCCGAGTCGCCTTGCCTGACGGTCCCGAGGCCCGTCGAGGGCCCGCGGAGGCCGAAAACTGTAAGGAACCTCCGTCCTGCCTGTTTCGCGACGCGAGCGCGTCTGGGAGTGCGCGCGTCTCCCTCTCTCTCTCTCTCTCTTTCTCTCTCTCTCTCTCTCTCTCTCTCTCTCTCTCTCTCTGTTTTTCTCTTTCTCTCTCTCTGTGCCCCCTCCCATCTCGTCGAGCAGACGCGAGAGACCAGCTGGGCGACCCCCAAGACGACTCGCAAGCCCGCAGCAGTCGCTACATACGTCGCCCCTTGGCGCTGGGAGCGAATGGAGTGCGCGCGTGCGTCATCTTCCTCCGCCCCTCCGAGCCTCGCCTGTGGGGAGTCGGGCGACGAGAGCTCTATTGGTCCACCGCCGCTGGCCAGGCCCAGCCTGGGCCCGCGAGCGGTGCAGATGCGCCGCCCGGGAGGGGCCCTGGAGGCCTCCACAGCGCTCCTGAGGGTCGGCGACTACAATGGGTGCGGTTTGCGAAAGGTGCGGTTTGCCTCCCGTCATATCTGCCCCTCCCGCCCCCGGGAAACGGACGACACTGTGACCCAATGCGACCGAATCACATGACACTGTCGCTCCTTCTAGTACAGTGGAGTACTGCCGTAACCGCACCGATTGTAGTCTGACTAGTCTGAATTTCGGGTTGGGGGGGGTATGGGCTCCATATGTGTTTTTTCGATGTTCCCGGACCCCCCCCCACTAGAAATCGAGGGTAAATCTGAGCCTTCGGGTTGGGTTGGGGTGGTTTGGTGGGTGGTGATAGTCGCCGGTCCTGGGCCCAGGGCTCGGCCTGGCCAGCGGCGGGGACTGCCTCTGCCTGCAGGCCCGGCCGCCCGCTGGAGGCCTGGTGGAGCTTCGCCCGCCGGCTCGGACGGCCGCCGCTCCCGCGGGGTGAAGAGGATCTCCTGCTCCGTCAGGGACGACCAGGTCCTCCTCGCCACGGCTTCGGACCTCCGTCGGGGAGGCGTCGGGGTGGGGTAGCATCGCGACTATCATCATCGCGTCTGCCGCTGTCGACGTCGTCATGGTACCACGCCCGCCCGAATCACCGACCTGCACTGAAGTGCCCGCGCGTCAGCGCGGCCTGCGAGACGCGCTGGGAAGCCCCCGGCGGTCAGCGGGCCAGGGGTGGGGGTGAGAGGCGACCCGCTCCAAGCGGCCCCTGAGAGAGGGAAACGTGGGCATCCGGCGGGGCCACTTCCCGGACCCAACCGTACCCCCGACTCAAGCCCGCGGGCCAGCCCAGACATTCTCGCGTCGCGACCAGAAAACAAGATGGGAGGTTTTTGGCGGTTTTCGGGCCCCTGGGGGCCCTCGCTGGGTCCCCAGGCCGTCAGTAGGGGAACAACAAGTGACATAAACATAAAACTCGGAGGTCCGCGCGGAATTATCGGATCGGTCCGAGGGAAGCAGCAGCCGAGAGGAAGCAGCAGCAGCAGCAGCAGGGAGAGGGAAGCAGCAGCAACGCAATGTAAACATATATCTGTATATACACATAGAGAATAGCAAATACATACATAAAAGAGAATGAGAGAGAGAATATATATATATATATAACAAAATAAAGAACAAGGAAAAAAGAAAACGGGGGACAAAACCACAGCCACAAAACTGCTCAGATCAGGTCTGCGCGAAAGGCCCCCGAGAGGGCAGAAGAGACCAGGAGCTGCGAGCCCGAACCCAAGGGATCCAGGCACGAGAACCTCTGCTGTCACACAGAGAACACGGCAGGTTCGTGTCGTGACGACCCCGGCGCTGGCATCTGACATCGCGTGAGCCGTTCACTCTTCGACGAGAGAGAGAGAGAGGAGAGAGAGCGGCGTGCGGGAGTCCACTCCCGCGCCCATGGAGGGCTGCCGGCACGCGGCCTCCAGCCTGCTTCTCACACGCGCGCCGATCGGCGGATTGGCACCCGTAGTGCTGAATTGTACATGATGACGTGATGTGCTATCAACCCGTCCACCTTTTGCACGGTCTCCCCCGGGCTCTGGGCCCCACGGGCTCCCACCCCAGAAGCAGTTTCGCCCAACGTCCATCCACTGCGCTCTGGATTCTGCACTTGAGCGCGCACTTGCTGTCTCGTTGCAGTACTGTCCAGCATCAGTCTTCAACGATCGGCGGCGTTTCGATCGCCAGGTCGTTCCATATTGGCCTGTCCTGGGCCACCGGCGGGCGTTCAACCTTTAACGCCCGCGCTGGGTTCGCAGCGCGTGCAGCCGCACGCCGCACGCCACAGCACGGGTGGCACGCGATGATGGCGGGCCTGCCTGAACCTCCGCCGGCCTCTGCAGAATCCCGGCTCCGCCACGGCGGCCTGAGGCACGCCCACGTGCGCGGGCGCCAAATGTCGCACCGAGTGGGGAAGAGCGGCGCCAGCGGGGTGCATCTCGGCAGCCACAGCTGCGATACATCCGTCAGCACGCACCAGCTGCGTGAACATGCAGAGGTGCAAGAATCCTGGCGGCAGAAGCGGGGCCAAGAGCCATGCCATCGTCACAGGACCGCGCAACCCTGGAGCGGCTCTTGCCCATGCGGCCGAGCTCAAGGGTGGACTGCGCGGCTTGGACCGTATGTCGAGGCACTGGCAAAAAGAAGTTTCACCTACCAAATTTGTGGTGCGCTAGACAACGCAAGCACCTCTGCCAGTGAGCCAACTAAGCCGCCGCAGCCCTCCAGTCACGGGCAACCGCTGTGCCACGGCAGCCAGTGATCTGTTGCTGGCACCGCGCCTACCACAGCGGCCACTGCACCACAGGCATCAATACACCGCTGGCCACAGCATCCGTAACGCCAGGGTACACGAAACCAAGGCGGCCACAGTTGCGAGGGAACTGCGCCACACTACACCACAACCACAACTCGAACAGTCACCACTCCTTCCGAAGAAGGCCTCGAGCCAAATCCCGAACTCAGAACCGTGGGAAGAGCTGCGCCAACCAATTCTGACGAACCAACAACACACACCCATACCCATAGGGGGATCGGAGAGGGCTATGGGTGCGTGTTGTCAGATGGGGGTCCCCGCTCGAACAGGAGCGTTCGCCAGGGTCCGACAACCCGCACCCATACCCATAGCCAGTCCCAACGACCCCCCTATGCGTATGGGTGTGTGTGTGTTGCTCGTTCGTCAAATTCTGCAAGAGGACTGATGCAAACTGCGCACACCGCCGAGCTTGTTCCTCCCTTGCCAAGTTGTCCACCCAGCGCGGAGATGACTGTCCAAGCGATTCCAATGATGCCCTGCAGAGTCCGAATTCCGGTGGCTGGGGAGTCATGTGGAACAGAAGCGGCGGCCCACGTAAGTTCCCGCCGCGAGCAGGATGAGAGCGCACCACCGCAAGAAGGAATCGATCGACTAACTGGATCGACAACACCGGACCGGGCACACCTGTGTCTTGGCTGTGGTGGATGCAGCGCCGATACCCAGGAAGCCCACATGTGCTCCCGAGGCCCTCGCGGGTCCGCGCGGTGGCGGTGGAAGAGCTCCCACTGGGAGAGACTGCAGGGCGAAGAAATCTATAATACATATCCACTGCTCCCTGGCTGGGCCCATCTTGAGCCCAGCAGCGGTGTACACGCCACGCCCTCCTGGCGTGGCCAGGAGGGCGTATGCACAGCTCCTGGGCCCAGGCAGGGCCTGGCCGGGGTGCAGTGGGTGTGTACAAGCTTCGTCGCCCGAGGCTGAACACCGTATCGTTTGGCCACAGCCCGTCGGTGGCGCGCAGCAGCGGCCCTGGCTCGGGCGCACGCTAAGATGGATTAGTGATCCGTGGATCTGGTGCGTGAGCGCCAGATTGATGTATCGGGGAAGGCACCCCAACGCATGAGGCCAGTGCCGCCTCATTTGGCGACAGCGCGCGCCGACTTCGCATGGAAACGGGACCCGTCGCTATTCCCGTGGCGTTCCCTCGACTGGCGATGGGACGCCCGCGGCCGGCTCCAGAGGCCCAAGATCCCCCGCACGAGCGCCGCGGGCCTGCTCGAGGAAGCTTTGTGGCAGCAGGGCGCCGGGAGCGCAGCGTGCTCGGCAAGCCGGCGCCGTCAACGGCACCGACCCTGGCAGGGTGCCACGCCGCTGGCCTGAGCCGCCGCCGCCACCAGGCGCCGAAGTCGCGGCGTCGCCGGGTCGAGCAACCGGGCGTCGAAGACGGGGCGCGAGGCCCATGCGTATTGGGCGCCGTCTGGGAATGAGCGTCGAGAAGGACGGTCGTGAGTCTCCGCGCCGTGTCTGGAGAGGGCGCGGCCAGACGTGGCCGCCATGGCCACTTGAAGCGGACTGCCTGCAACCACGGCGCCGAGACAGCTCGACCTGCTCGGCTACGAAGCAGGCTTCTTCTGGGAGCGGGCGGCGCGGCGCGAGAGTGAGTCTCGCTGGTGGAGCCCTGCGCGCTGAGGCGAGCCGCATCGAAGCGGATAGCGCGGCTCGGCAACATATACGCTGGCAGTACCCTCGAGGGAAATGGACCGAGGGGCGGCGAATTCAGCTACCAGCACCGCAGACCTCTACGATTTCACGAGCGGCCCAGTGACCTACCATCAAAGAAAAAAAAAGCCCCCAGGCCCAATCGGGGTCGAAGGGCCCCTGGGGACTGCCCCGGAGAAATCATGAGGCCCTCGCACTCGGATGGTAGACCATTCCCCCGCCAGGGAACCACAGCCGCGGCTTCAATGTGAGCGACTTTCTGGAGGAACGAGCAAGGCCGAGGACCCTGACCCGAAACATCGACACCGCCCAACCCAAGGAATATCGTTGGAGATCAAAGCTATGCGGGATGGTCAGATGTCCGCTTCGCTTGGCTGTCGAGGCCCCAAATCTCTCAGTATGGCTCCAACGTGTCGAAAAATAGCCTGGCGAAGAGCCCAAACATGTGAAGCTACACGTAAAGCACAGCGCGCCCCTCTCTACATGTACTGCGCACCGCGGGGCGGTGCGGATAGAGGCATGCGAATCAAGCTCGCAGATGCGAACTGAATCCCATGCGGGCCCAATCCGCATGACAGGAAGTGCCGTATTGGGCGCAGGGGTCTCCGCGCGAACGTGGAAATCCCAGTGGGGCACAAAACGTGTGAGGGGCGTGCTGACATGGGCGGGGGGGCGGAATGTAGACGCACCCCCTGGGGTCGTGAGTGGAGCTCCCTGTGGGGCACGCCGGGCACGCAACGTGTAGTGTGAGGTGTGTGCCAGACTGGGCGGGGGGGCGGCCTGCGGACGCACCCGCTGTCTGACGCCGCAGATGGAGCTGACTGGCGGACACGAAGCGTGCCAGCGGCGCGCCGACATGGGACAGGGGCAGCATGCGGTCGCACCCACGGAGGCCGCAGGTGGAGCTCCCCGTGGGGCACAGACCGCGTGAGGGGTGCACCAACATGGGCGGGGGTGCGGCACGCGCACGGTGCCGCCGGTGCCATGCGCTGGCGGAGCGCCCTGGTGGGCACAACGGGTATGCGGGGGGGGGCCGCCATAGGCGAGAGGACGAAGCAGAGGTTGAGGAAGAGGATGAAGAGGAGGAGTGAGGAGTGAGGAGGAGGACTGAGCAGGAGGAGGAGGAAGAGGAGGAGGAGGAAGAGGAGGTGGGGCGCGGCACTGCAGATTCAAAGCGAGAACCCAGAACATGCAACAGGGTTGGGGGGTCAAACAAAAAAAAAAACGGAGCTGGCACGAGGGCCCCAGTTGGCCCCAACATTGTTCCACGATTGCTCCAGAGCCCCCCGAGCAAGCCCACGAGAGACCAAGATCATTGAGGTATGCGTTTGTCCCGACCTACAGCGTTCTCGCCTCAATCCCTTCGGATGGGGCCTGGAAGCCCTAAGACGGTCCCAATGATTTTTCCATCCAACGAAAGCGTCTGAAGGCTAGCGGCCCAAGAACAAATCTATGGAACACGGAGCTGGTCAGCGGCGTCGTCTTTACGAGTCGTTCTTCACGCGGCGGGAACGAATGTGCGCCACGTCCTTGATTACATGATCCTGCAAGAACGAACAACGCAGGTCTTACCCATGAGAGGCACTGATGCAAGGTGCGGTGCGAACGGAAATAATGGAATGAACACCCAGGGAACTGGAGGGAATGAGCGGGCAGGATGCCAGGAAGGACGTGAGCATACTCATGGTGGATTTCTGGTTCCTCCACTTTCCCCATCTGCTCCTTCCCCATCGCCTCGTTCCTTCGTTCCTCCCCTCCTGAGCCCAGACCCTACCCAAGGACCTGCCAGTCCACGCCTGCGGAGGAGGTGGCGCCTCAGCACATCGCGAGGGGCGTGACAAAGGCAGGCAGGACGAGGAGGAAGCAGATGCCAATCGTTGGTCATAGCTCACGAAAGACAGGAAGGACCAGAAGGATAAAGGGGTGCGGAAGGAGGCGAATCTCAGGAGTGTGCCGAGTTTGACTGGCCCTCAACAAGATGGGCACACGCACATGGTGCCTTAACAGCAAACAAACAAAACAAAACAAAAAAAAGTGTATGGGAGGGTGGAGAAGTGGAAGAGGAGAGAGCCTGCAAATCCCGAGAAGCAGTCGTCTGCACTCCCTTGGGGTGCGGTCAAGCCAACTCGACAGCAACAGATGCCAGAAGCGACGATGTACCATGGCCAGGTGCGTTCGAGGATCACGCCAGATCCAGCCGAGTAGTAGCACCCTGGAAAAAGAGTGAGGAGGAGGAGGAGGAGAAGGAGGAGGAGGAGCAGGGCGAGGATGAGGAGGAGGAGGAGGAGTCGACGTAGCCTGAGGGCGACTCATGGTGCCACCTATGCCAGGAGCGCAGGCCGTGCGGCACCTGTGACACGCGTGGCGGATTCGCATGTGTGGTGTGGTGGGAGAAGCACTATATCTTTCCATGTGTGTGAAAAGCGAGTGCCATGGCCTCAACAGCCTGGAGGCCAGAGATTTCGCAATCCTCCTTGCCGTACTCCGCGGAAATCCCAGGGCCAAGCCAGAGCGAAGGGTCCACAAGAAAGACGAGCCGCGACCAGCTGAGGGCGACGTGGTGCCAGAGCGGCATGCACTGGAGGTAGTGCGAGACGTCGTTTCGGCCCGCGCACCCAAAAAAGCAATCTCGGGCATGCGGCGAGACGTGCATTCTGCAGCTGGTAGCCCAGCCTCCTGAAAGCGTTTTTACAACCGCCTATTTCCAGCTCGGCCGCACCTGCCGGAGACATGCTTTCAGTTGGGAGGGCGAGGGAACGACCAGGCATCGAGGCGGCGGCCGATGGTCTGGTGGCATCGGTCGGGATACAGCGCAATCAAAACTGAAGAGCCGATCACACGCGGCAGCTTCAACTTGAGTCCCTCTTCAGCGGCCGCCCGGAACTCGGCCCTGCCTGTCGCCCTCGTAGCCTCCCACACCATGAGCGAAACGGGATACGAGAAGCGGAACGACCCGTTACGACGACGAAGGACGATAGAGGGCGTGGAGACAAGGAGAGAGCGTAAAGACTGTACGATAGCAGTGAGACGGCCCCAGCACGGCGCACACAACTCGTCACTGGCCCACCGTGGGGCAGACAGTGCGGGCGCACAGCAGGCACGCTCTGCAGCCTGCTGGAGCGCGTCGAACGCCGGCGCCCAGTCAGCGACTGTGTGGGCACTCGTCCTCCAGGGGGACGCGACGCTGAGTGCCAGCACCGACCTCGGTACTGTTCCGAGCTGCTGGCCAAGCGAGTGCACGTCCTGGAGAGCGAAGGGATTCGGAGGGAGGAGAAACAACTTGTCGAGAGCCGGCGCCTCTCTCGCGACCACTCGGGGCGACAAGGGGAAACAACTGGGCAAAGCAACCAAGGGTGCTAAGAGCGTACACGTTACACTGGACTGAGAGAAGCTGACGAGCAGCACGGGAGGATGGGAGTCCGATGGTACGCTGCCACCATGTCGCACAGGCCTGGGACCACTGGAGTTCGAGATCTGCGACGGGGCCGAACTGCACGCCAAGATATGGGGTGGCCCCTTGGATATCAAATTGCTGACACGCCCAGAGATGAGCGTCAAGCCAAGAGCGGATGCGAGCAGCCAAAACCGTTGTGCATTCAGCCCAAAGTGGCACTATGCAGCACTTGCTTTCCTGCAGTCTGAGCAGGGCATGCTCGCGAATCTGCTCGAAATGGGGCATGACGGAAGCAAGGGTACGAAGCTGAGGGGTGACAATGCCAACATCATCGGCGCACCCACCTACATCTCCTGGGGTGTCTCCTTGGGGTGGTCTCTCGACGGCCTCAGGGAGCAGCCTCACCACAGGGTCGAAAATCAGCGCTCACACAGACCCCGAAAGGGGGCACCCCGGGAGGACTCCGCTGCACAGATAAAGCATGAAGTGAGGCTCACCATTGAATCGGCCGTAGCCTCGGGGACAAAAGTAGAGGGAGTGCAGGAGGTTAAGATACCCCTGAGAGATGCCACGGCGACGCAACATCTCGAACCACCACTGGTGGCCCACGGAGGGGAACGCGGCTGCTACATCAAAGGCTAAAAAGTATGGCCAATGTCTATCAGCATTAAGGCTACGAACGCGAACACTGGCGTCCATGAAGACTACATTGCGGGCGAAGTTCTGGCGTACAACAAAGCCGCGCTGGTTCTTATGAGCCCTGTTCGCCACAATATCGCGGAAGACAAAGTTGGCGGCGCTGGCAATGATCTTAGAGTCAGAGTTTCGGAGCGACAGGGGTCTTACTTGGCTGTCCTGGCGAACGCAGTCGAACATGTCTTCAGGGCGGGAGCCCTTGGGAAAAAATGCAAAGGCAGAATCGTTCAAATCAAGCGGAACAGGGTCCCCTCGGAAAAGATGAAGCATTAGATCGTGCAGTGTGTCTAACTGCTCAGGGAGGACGGCACTAGATTTATGAGTAGACCCGTCTGGTCCTGGAGCGGTGGCGCGAGCTCGCTCGAGGGCCTTGCCCAGGCCGGCGCGAGACGGGATGGGAAGACCGGCGGTATCAGATCCGTCCACATGCTGTCGAGATAGTCTCGCAGCCTGTCGGGATCCACGTGCCTGGCCTGAAAAACCCGTTCCAATGGGACGACAGCGCAGCGCGGATAGCTTCGCTCGAGCGGGCGACAGGACCGTTGTCTTCATCACCCGCGAGCGTCTCAGGACGGACGCCGTGCAGCACCAAGGAGCTGGCTCGCGGCTGGCTTAGCTTGGCCTTCCTTTGCAGCGAGCGGCTGCCTCAGCCTGGCGCAGAGCAACTGGCACCCGCGGCTCGGCGAGCTGTGCGCGCAGCGGGAGACGAGGCGCGAGGCGCGCAAGGACTTCGGGCGCCTGCCGGCGCTGTGCTGGACCGACCACGCAGCGGCCGTCAAGGACGCGACGGGCGAGGCGGAGACGGACACTACGGTGATCCGCTGGGTCGGCGAGATCGAGAGCGACAGCAGCAGGCTGATGAACCTGTCTGGCCTGAGCTGCGCTCTCGGTGACGGCCCTTCCCGCGAGAACGAGGCTCACGGCAAGTTCTTGCGCGGGCAGGCCCATTCCTTGGCGAAGATTACGATCGAGGACATCGTTGGCGACGACTACCGAGAAGGTGACAGTGCCCCGTGCGGCCTGGACGTGACGCCGGACGTGGCGGTGGTGCAGCTGGCGGGCCTTGCCGGGCCGGGGCGCGAGAAGGGTGACACCATCGCGCTGCACCTGCCTGACTGCAGGTGCGAGAGGCGGCGATCCGCGGAGCAGGCCCGAGCTGCGCACACATTGCAGCTCTCGGCGCCAGCCGCGCGGCTTCGCCTGGTCCCTCACGACCCCTCTGCTGGCGGACGGCTCCGGCGGCTCCTTCTACGCGTCGCCGCCTCGCTTCCCTGGCGACGTGGGCGGGGAGGCGCGGAAGCAGCTCCGGGTCGAGGTGCTGACGGCCGTGGCGTCCGTGCTGCGGGAGTGCAGGAGCCGCTGGCCCAGGGTCGTCATCGGCACAGGCCACGGGGCGCTGGCGGCGCTGGCCGCGTCCTACCGACGCCTGGTGGAGGCAGCCCTCGCGCTGAGGTACGCTAGGGAGGCCGAGGGCACGACCATCGCCTAGGCGTGGCTGAACGTCAGGGCCTTTGTGGCGATCGGGCCGCGAGCCCACAGCCCGAGCAGGATCGACCTCGTGCTGGAGGCGCTCCCCGAGCTCGGGGGTCCCGTGCTTGGAGTGGAGCGGCCGGCCCCGTGCTTCCTCGTGGAAGGTGCCGCCGCTCACCGTGGCTTCGGGCGCGACCTAGGCGAGGCCCTCGGCGTGGCGATGGCGGCCGCGCTGGACGACGTCCTCACCCCGGAGCTAGTGGCAGGTCCCCCGCGGCAGCTGGAGTTCAGCGGTGGGCGCTGCGCTTGCGGTCGCAGCTCGCTGGTGCTAGCGCGCTGCGGGCAGTGCATTCGTGCCGACCGGGAGCTCGAGGAGGAGGCGAAGATGGCCGAGGCCCCCGACGACGACCCAGGGCTGGTTGAAGCTGGGGAGGCGGTTCAGGTAGCTGCCAGCTTGTGCGGGACCTGCTGAAATTTGGCGGCCCGCTCCAGGACTTCGTCTGCGGGCACCTCCGAATCCGACGTGCGCGTGCCGCTGGGATCGTGGCGTTCGAGGCTGCCCGCGGCTACCCCTTCAGGATGGCGTGCTTCTTCCTGGCGGCCCAGCCGGGCGGCCCTGCGGAGGTGGCGCTGGCCCAGGCGTGCGTGGAGATCGACCTGGAGCTCACCGCCGAGATCGACATCGGCCAGCTGGAGGGCATCCCCGTCGGCGCGGAGCTGATCCAGGTCTTCGCCAGCGCCTGGCCGTTGTGGGACGGCGGCGCCCAGAGCCCTGCCATCGGGGCCTCCCGCGTGCACCGGCACTGCCGCGGCTCGGCAGTAAAGGGCGGCGTGCTGGTCAAGGTGTCGCCCTACTCGGCCGCCTACTCCGAGGTGTTCGTAGGCGCGTTCGGCCTTGCCTGGCACCGAGCCCTGGAGGAGCGCTTCGGAGGACGCGCTACCAAAGCCTTCAGCGAGTGCGGGACGACGGCCTTTGCCCGCGGTGAGCGGGAGGCGTTCGAGGCCCCAGACGTCGCGAGCTGCTCCCTCGGGCTCGACACGTCTGGCTCGCTCAACACCTCCACCAAACCCCAGAGCGTATGCGACAGCGGGGGGCGGCCAAGAGGGGGCGAGCGGACCGCAGCGGTCTACGGTGCGACGTATGACGAGTAGGTGGTCGATGTCTCCGAGGCGACCTTCCGCTCGAGGATCAGCCTCCCCGAGCCGGGCACAGCCGAGTTCGAGACGGAGGTGGCGGAGGGCCGCATGCTCGAG